AACTGCCTCAACAGCAATAGCAACAACAGCAACAACAACAACAACAACAACAACAACAACAGCAACAACAACAACAACGGAAAACAGGAGGCGATGGCAGCTGTTTTTAATGTCTGCACAGCCGCCTAATGGCGCTTAACAGTTCACAGAGGGGGCAGCAGGGGGCGTGGCAGTGGTCGGAGGAGTTGACTCAAAGTTGGAGATGCATTGAGAAAAAAAACTAATTAACTTTTCTCTGAAAGAAGCTTACAATCTTAAATTGATCAATATAATATAGTTTTTAAAATTACAAAGTTATTAAAATCTTTAATCTTTTATATTAAACTTACATTTTTATTGTATATTCTATTGGTTTTCCACATTTTGGTTGATAAAAACGTAAGCACACATTTAAATCTCTCTGTGTGTGTTTTTGTCTGGATTTGTGGCAAAAATTGAAAATCATATGCTCATCGTCATTGTCCCCTCATTTTTACCCATTCCCCCCAAAAACAGCGATCCCTTTTGGCGTTTTATGCGACCGTTAAGTGGCAAACGATTCAAACAAAAAAAAAAATTTAAAATAATGTGAAACGGTGAAAAAAAAATTTTAATATAAAAACGTTTCTTTTATTGAGAGTCAGTGGGTAGATAAACTGATGGTGGAGTCTAATCACGTAAAAATGAATTCATATGAACTCATTCACATAAGAATGAGTATTATCCTCTATAATATGAATTCATTCATATAAGAAAATCAACATTCCTCTAAAATAAAGACTTATTAGCTTTATCAATTTGATTTTGTAGCCTATGGAAAAGTTAAGCTTGATTTGACCCAAGCAAAGCTTATTCTAAAATGGAATTACCTCTTACCCCTCAATCGCGCCCATTTTCGTTGATGCCCCCAAAAACTTGCCAAGGTTTTCCTGTTTTCAAAAACATAATTTCCTCGGCACACACACAAACAAACAAACACATAGGGATGAAAAAATGCTTTCTATACAAAATGTGGAAGCCAAAAAGTTGCACAAAATTGCCAAAGTTTTGTTTGCTTATGCATTGCACTGCCCTTGTCAACCAGTCGCCCCCTAAATGCCCCCCTATCCCGCCACCTTAACCACTAAAAAATCCACCCCCTATCCCCAAAACATACACCTAATTGTGTGTCCCCCGTTTTACTTCTATTTCACATTATTTTTTTTTTTTTTTTCTTTTTTGGCTGAAAGAGGGAAAAATTATGTCAGGAGGACGGCGAATCGAGGGTGTGTAAATTATTTATGTGCCAACTGTCCTTCCCCAAGAAGCTTCTTCTTCTACTTGCGGCACGCATGGGTTAAGCCCGTCCTCCACCCCCCCATCCACCCCCTATCCCACTGTTTCCTGTATCGCTCCTTTGTGCCAGTTTATAAATAAAAATCATTATTACTCGACAACACCCGAGACTTTTGGGAGAAAGGTTAAGCCTCTCAGTCTGTTGGAAAATATATATCAAATTATTGTCGTTAAAGGCATACAATTTAGGGAAGCTTTTAAAAGTATGCCAGTTTTTTATAATCCACATAATCGATATACTAAAACAATATAAATTTAAACACATTTAGACTGTAGGATGAAAATTACAAAACATTCCTGGTTGACATAATTCGTTCTTTATTTTAGAATTTTTCATAAAGTAAAATACACTGAGACTGAATTGATATGAACTACAAAAAATACTCCCTGTGACTTCGAATATTTTTGATATTATTTTTCAACTTTAAAACCGAAATCAATGACAGGTTATAAAAAAAAAATTCGGTGTTTATTTCAGAATTGTTGACGAAATTTCTTGATGCTTTTTTTTGTGTTTCCTTTTTCGCTTCGCTTTCAGTTGGCCACGTTGAAGTTTTCGTTTGAAATTAGTACGCATTGTCCTTAATTGTTGGGGCGTTTGTGCAGGGGCTGACATTTTATGGGTGTTTGAGGGGGCTCGGTCGTATTATACATATATATACGTGGTATATAGACGAGGACTTCAGCTTTGACCAAAAGCCATTGACTTCGTTCCCTGCTGCGTGTTTATTTATTTGACTTGTGCATGTCGCTTTTGGGTGTTAACTTTAATAATTAACGGCATTAATTGCCGCATATGTCACATCTTTGCTTTGCGCCCCCATATATACCCCATTCCACATCGCCACGGGCCTGCATTTGTCTTATATTTGGCTTCGTTTTGTTTTTATAGAGCTTTTCCCCACCGAGTCGCTCCTTTGAAATATTTAAACGCTTATGTCATTTCAACATCCCTCACAATTTCTCGGTGTATTTTCTATTACCCAGTTTTCTGCGCCTCAACTGCATAATTCATAAATGGGCTAAATGGAAAATTATGCGTTTCTAGGTCTTTAATTGACTGGGTTGACTTTCTAACTAATTTGGAGGGTGTATTTGTACAGTGTTTTAAGCTCAAACTGGGTAAAGCAAATCGATATAATACCTGGTATAAATTACTTGTGAGCAAATAATATGGAATTGAAGATTTGCTACAGTTTGTTTTCATAGTTTTCGAAACATCGAAATAAGTTTTCGAATTTAGACTCATAAAATCAAAATAAATTTATCTATATTTCTAAAGCTTAACCTTTTTATACAACAAACCCCCAATCGCTTTATATTTACCACTCCAATTCTACGACCACCCAACATCAATATTTGGTATAACAATGTGATGGGCATATCTTTGGTAACTTTTTTTTTTTGTTAAATGTAAACTTTTTCTTTTATATTTATTAATAGAGGTTCATTAGAGACGCCAATAAACCGGTAAAACCTCAGCTCGTCCCCCGTCCGATTTGAAAATGTTTTGTTTATCGTTCAGATGCGAGTTTGGATTCGAAATGTTTTGTCCCCTAATGAGAACTAATGAATGCGTTGGAGTTGGGATGCTCTGCCACCGGTTTTCCTTTATTATTATTATTTTATGCGATCGGTCGGGCTTGTGGGTTGCACAACCCACACAAGATGAGAAAACCGAAGACTGAACCGATCGAAAACTGGTCTTCGATCTGCTCTGATTCGATTTTGGGGAATGACAAATGCATTTGAGATTAGGATCGGAGATCTTATCGGGCCTCCAACTAATGGGCTTAAATGTGATGACAATAAATTGATTTCATGATTATGGGAATTCGATTTGAAATTTATGGATGGTAATAATGCAATTTGAAGTCATTTAGATGTGAAGATAGTGGCATATCTCGGTTGGAATTAAGATATTTAAAGGTGAAACGCTAAAGATAAAGATATTTGGAGTGGATTATAAAAAAGGTCATTTGGTTTATGGTATTGAAATTAGTAGCGGAGAGATCGTGATATCAACTTTAAAACCTAACAAAAACATCGCGACACACCGTGAAGTCACATCTCAAGTACAAATATTTATTGCTTTTCAAATAAGCATTTTAATATCCTACACTTACGGGAAATTTTCCAACCCCAGCCTTATTTTTCACACTCCCTCCTCCGAGTTGAGGACATCAAAAAGAAAAACTTCTTGAATGCTTCTTGTTTTGCTTTCCATTTTGTGGCTTCTGTAAAGTGTTTTCACAGAGCGAGAGTAAACGCTTAAGGCGCTTATGGGAAGGAAAAGTTCAAAAATCTCATTAAATACAACAATATAAACATGCAGCAACAAGAACAATATACTAAATATTTATGCCCGACTGTAAAAGTTCATTTTTTTCGCTTTGCTCTGTTTCTCTCCCTCTCTTTCTTTCACTATGTGTGTATCGCATTTGGCTTTCCATATAAAAATTGTGTAAAATAATAAAAATAATTTCAACGACAATACAGACACAAAGCGACGCACACACACACACACACACACACACACACGCATGCAACACATTGTCGCCCCAGACGCCATTTTGGCTTTGTTGTTGCGTGTAATGGATGCCGTTATGTGCAGAAATGGAAGAAACGAGATTGGGGGCGGATTTTCCAGCGGGGGTGTGGCTTTTGGGGATCGGAATCGGGCTTGCGATTCGCCTTTTTGCATTACTTCGACTTGAATGCGTTCTGTGCAATGGCCAATGCACATTCGCTCCTCGCTCCGCACCCCGTCGCATAAATATAATTATTTTGTTATAAAAATGCATTCCACAGAAGAGGAAAAAATGTGGGGAATTCCTTTATGCGACACTTGTCCTCAAGCATTCCTCGAATACGAGAGGGAAAATGTTTATTACCCCGAGACATTACCCTCGGCAACCTATTTCCACACCTCCAAATCCACCTACCATTCAAGTGCTTTTTGGTCCTTTCTCTGCGATTCTCATAAATATGAGTTGGCTGCTATCGAATGTTGGTTGAATTGCTGGTTCCTTGGAAGATTGGATTTGGTTTGGGACTTAAAAAGGGTTTCAATATAAAATATACTTGCAAACTTGTTAATTCTATCAAATTTTAAAATTATATTTAGATTTTCTTAAGAAAAATTAAAATTTACTCTCAATATTAAAAACTTTAGTAAGCCAATTATTACTTTTACTACACCCAAAAAAAAAAAAAAAAAAAAAAAAACATTCAAAGTTTAGTTCTAATAAAGTGTGTCTTAAAGACAAACATCCAACAGTATTAAAATAAAAGTATAAATTCAATACTTAATAATATAACCCTTGTACATTTTGGTTGCTTTTCTATACCGAATAGTTCAAAACTTCAGTCTAAGGCTCTGTTTTTAAACCACATGAGTTTTATTTTTATACATTCCTGGTATTAATTTAATACTTATCTTATTAAGTCATCTCTCATAGCTTAAAATTTATGTAGTTTCTATGACAATTTTGTTTTTGTGTAGTTTCTAAAATATATTGTTATAATTACCCAAAATTTTTTATAACTTTTTAAAAATCAATAAAAACTTCATAAATGATTTTAAATAGGCTCTAGTGCTGGTATCTACCCAAATCCCCCCCGTATCGATTGCTATGCATAATAACTGAAATTAATCATATATTTCTTCTTTGTTCTCATTGCAGTTTTTAAAGCTCCCACGTTTCAAGGAGTTCGACTTGTTAAAGGAACACGCGCAATTATTGCTACAAGTGGATTGGGAATAAAGGTAAGTCCGCCCAAGATTACAGCCCAGTCAGCTGACATAGGCATTTAGATGGAACACCTATGTTCTTGTAAGATCCCTGCCCCTTTCAACGATTTTCCTACACTGATAAAAATGCTACCGAAATTGATTTGTTGCTAAACATGATCTAATGAAAAAAGGAATTAAATTATGCAGAAAGCATTTACTTTAAGAATACTGCCACTGAAGTTTCAATGAAATATTTTAAATAAAAATACAGAGTTTTTAAGACTTATTTGCTATGCTGTGTAACGCCCAAAGCCTCCTGTCCTTTCTTCACGTTTCCAGTCAACTGATTATAATAACACGATTTATCAAATGCACGTAAATTACAATAAATTAAACACGAAATTAATATTAATGACAAAGGCAGTCGCTCACACACACACACACACACACACAGCGATTGTCTGTGGGTGGAAAAGGGGGTGTTGGTTGTGTGGTGCTGGTGGTGGGTGGAACAGTAGATAAACGGAGACAGACAAACAACATAAATACATGCAGGCAATACACTCGTATCTTGTATGTTTGTGCAGAGACAATTGCCAAATTAAGTGCATGCCTCTGTTCCAGCCACGCCCAATTCATAACTGGCCCCCAATCCTCCTTGCCTCTGAATTATGTCTGGAATTTTCCCCTCCTCGACCCTACTTGTGCCATCTTAAATATGAAAATCGTTCTTTTGATTGCAAATTTGCCTATTTGCATTGCATTTGCAAGCCCGCAGTTAATAAGCTTCGGACATAATAGTCCAAACATAGATGGGTAGGGCACACATACAGTGGTAAGGATATGCGAACAGTGAAATCCAACAAATGGCCAAGCGATTGATCAGGGCAACCTAACGGAATGAGGAGCAAATGGGGGAGGACGAGCAGTAGGAGGATTCTCAGAGGAATTCGATATGCAGCCGCAGGAAAAGGACTCTTTATGGCTCCTCAGCCGATTGGAGATGTCCAAGTGAATTCCATGTTAATTCAGTGATTGCGAATCGCTTAACATCCCAGCCAGACAAAGAGAAAATAAATGAAAAGTTGTGATTTGTGACTTGAATGAACACTATCAGACTGAAGAAAAAGCAATATTCATAACTCTTCTACTATCTTAACGTTTTCTTAAATAAGTGAAATTTATTTTCATTATATATTTTTTAGGATCTGAGTTATTGAAACAATACAAGCAAATCTCCTGAAAACATAACATTTTAAACTTATAAAGTTTTGAGCAAAAATTATCATAAAATGCATTAATCTTTATAATTTTGCGCTCAATAAAACATAGGTTAGCAAAGAGTCACCTTCCTCTGATCAGATATTTTTCTATACATGTATATTTTAAGAAAAATACCTACTCTTTTTAGTTTTAACAAAATTAAATTAGGATTGTTCTACATTGTGGTTTAGTTTATTTTAATCACTGTATATTGATCTCAAATATTCTATTAAAATCTAATGAACATTATTAGGAAATATCAATGACTTTCCCACCACTTTCTTAATAAAGTATATATGATTAAAAAATAACACTTTGGATGATAGTTCGCTGTTCCATTTCTTAAGATACAATTAATTAATTAAATTGAAATTGAAATGAAATAACTTTCGCAGCTTTTTTAACAACACCAACTAAACGGGCAATAGGTAACACTCACTGAGAGTCACCGTTTTCATTATCTGTGACTTTGCTGCCTTGTAGCCGTCCCTTCGGCAGCTCATCCTTAATTGCGATTGTTGCAAGGACTTGCACAATTTTGCATATTTGATGAGCCAGCCAGCCAGCCGACCGGGCCATGTGTGTGTGTGTGTGTGTCGGTTTGTTTGTCCGGGTCTCCGGGTCTTTCGATATCAGAGAGTCGACAGTGCTACGTACCTGGCCTGTTGAGTTGCAATTTGGCTAACAAATTATGCAGCAGCAGCAACAACTACAACAACAACAACAACAAAGCGGCACTACTGACCCAAAGGGAAAGGGGGCGTGGCATTATAGGGGCAGGGGCGTAGTGTCCGTTGCCAGCGCGTTGACTTTACGGCCCGTCCGCCGGCCTCATCCGTCCGGCCCTGTTAAATAATTGTAATTTATGGCACTTTACACAAATAAATATATGGAAATCAATAAATTTACCCCACACACACACACACTCACGCACACACACTGAGAGAGACTTTCCCCATGGAGTTGGGCCTCGGCCTTTGGTTTTTGGTTTTTGGTGCATTGCAAATTGCTTTTTGCTCTCTGTCCGCTTGTTTATTGCTTTTTGTGGACTTTAACAATTATTTTATGTTGTCACAATTTAAAAAGCTATGGAGAAAAAGTGAGAAATGGGCGGAATTCAGGCGGGCATTCAAAATTAATTTTTATTCCTTATGCTTTTTCATTTTTCAATCATAGCATTTTGATATATCTTTTTTTTGCTTTAAATATTTATATGTGGACAGTATTTTGAATTTCAATTGCGGTTTTTTGGTGGCCAGGGTACGCACACGTCCGTCTATATGTATACACATGAACATTGTAATAACTCTGTCAATTTGAGTGGTTCAGGTGGAACGTTTCACATTGTGTTATTGTTGTTACATGGGCTTTTGGTTGGGTTTCTGAGATTTTATAAATTTATGACATAAATTCCAGCACATTTGCTTGTGTTTTGTCATTACTTAGAGTGACCCGCCGATTGTAATGAGTAAATAATAAAAATGTGTAATTGTGCTCATAAAAATATAATTTATCAAGACCAATTTAAAGCGATAATTAACACAAGATTAATAATATTTAAACAACAACATGCGGGAGCTCAGGAAAGGTGGTCAATTTTGATTAATGATTTAAAGTCAGACCCTGTTAAATGCACCATTTTAATGTAACCAGACTTAAATAAATACAGTCAAATAACAATTTTCAACCCTGTATTGAGTGGGGAATAACACTCTTGCATCTAAATACAATATCTATCATTTAAGTTAGTTAAGCCAAAATATCTTCTATTTGTTTTCTATTAAACCCAGCACTCAGTTTAAAATGCAATTGACTTGTAACTTGAACACGACAAATCAATTTCGTTTTTGATTCCGATTTCTCAAAGCTCTTAATTAAGTCGATTTGATTTGAATTCCGATGGAATTTTCATTCGATGTATATAGTATTGGTTAATAAAAACTGCCAGTGTTTTTTATAGTTACGTTATTTTTTTGTACAAAAACTAATTTTGTAAATTGCCCTCGTTGAATTTTAATTCAATTTTCCTTTGCATATGGCAGAGGGGTATTAACAAAACAAAAAAATCGACGGGAAAAAAATACATTTTTCATAAATATGTTTGCTTATGACTCGCTCGCTGCCCCGCCCCTTTTGAACAGACGTATATAAAAATTTTATGTTGTGTTGATTTTTGTTTGGCTTTCCTCATTTTGTTTGTTTGCCCGCGCCCGCGCCCGCTCACTTGGTGCTTTTTTATGCCGTTTCCTTTATATTTTGTCATATTGAAAAATCGAAATTAATTAAATTGTGTCAAAGTTATTAAATTTTATTGTCATTCGCCATAAATAAACAAATGTCGTGCGCAATACGCTTTAAGCCTATAAGCAGACACCCCGCCCCGCCGCTCGCGCAACTCTTTCAATTAGAATTTATAGAAATTTATGATTGTTTATTTGTAATATTTTCCTTTTTTATTTTGTGTTTTTTTTCTGTTCTTTGCCGACTGTTTGTGGGCTTGTTTGGTCGCCTATGCCCCCCTTTCACTGCCTGCCCCCCCGATTCCGTCCTCAACGAAGCTCGTTAGTCACGCGTTCGGTTCGCCACCGCCTGGTGTGAAAAGTAATTATGAACGCTTTATGACAGCCGGTCAACTTCATTCGATGTCCATTAATTTGGCCACACTTAACTGTGTTCGTTGTTTTCTTTTCCCCCGTGTGGATTTTCTTTTTTGCTTGCCGCTCGGGGTGCGGAAACTCTTTTGGGGAACTGGACAGAGCACTCGAAGAAGGTAGTTGCTTTATATATTTTGTATCGTTGAAATTTCTCTTCAAGTTTTCAGAACTTTAATTTAATCGTTTCCCTTTACAGTTTACAGTTTACAGAACTTTAATCTAAGTTACTTTTTATAAAGTCTTATATGTGAGGAAACTTTGGGTGACCAGTCTCATTTATGAGTAAACTTAGAGTGATGACACACATTAAATGAATAATTTAGTGTAAGAGATTCATATTTTAGTCTTAATTAAATGTTTTTCTTTGGTATATGCTCAAAACTTTATGCTAACATGCAAATTGTCTGTTGGTTTCCGGAAAATTAATTGATAAATTTTTAACTTGAAGTTTCTGTGAAATGGCATAGTGTCAACTTCTTGTTTGGAAAATTTTCAGAGACCTCAGATCGTGAGCTTTGATTGCATGCCAACTCCTTAAACGACGTCTTACCTTTATCGTCTTTGTTGGTTTTAGTTTTATCTGTTGTCTCAGCTGGACACCGAAAGAGACGGGGCGAGAGTGAGAGCGGGATAGAAAGGGCGCGCCCCGAAATTCCATGGCCGGTCGGTCACGTATGATGGCCCAAAATGTGTGGCCAACTCTCCAATACTCCCCTAACTCAGCTTTTGGGCTTCCACCTTGACTTGGTCTTGGATCTCGTTTGTTTGTATATGCTTTTAATAAAATTTATTACACTCTCACATGACGAACATCGAGCCCCCCCTCTCCCTTGCTCATACATATTTGTCTAATAGAAAAATTATGACCCAAACACAAACACGGGAATTTTTTCCGAGGAGAAGGAGGAGGGCGTTAATTTTTATTATGCATCCCCCGACTTCGTCTGTCTTTCGGCCCATAATTATAACATAAAATTTTTATTGAAATTTCTGAGGCATTTTCATTTTGGTTCTTTTGGTAGGGGTCAAGTGGCGATGGAAAAGGAAAAGGAACCACACAAATGGAATAAAAGTAATAAACATTTATTTCATTAATTTATCATTGCGCACAGGCTG